TTTTTTCGCGACCCGGAAGGGGATGAAGTGGTAGAAGAAGAATGAACAGAGTCTTTTCTCAACATCTTCAGAGAGCCAGGGAACCATGCAAACTTAATGACCTGCTGCTGATACCCAGTATTAAAAAAAAGGTCGTCACAGCCAAACAAATGCCTGAGCAGCATAACCGATGACTCAGAGACAGACAGTCGGCCACTCGTGGACCTTCATACCAAAGAAGAAGCTGCTGGAGGGTGGAGCTGGCTCTGGCAGGCCTCCAGAACGCTGAGTAATCAGTCCCAGGGCCGGCATACCAACCTGTGCATGTCAAACAGAGTGCCTGCACTGTAGGTGCAGCAGCACAGTAAAGTGGAACTGTTAGCTCAGCATGTGAAGGCCAAACCCATCCATAGAACAGCCTTCATCAGCCACCATCATCATCATCATCACTGCAGATTCAGTTTGAACGTGACCCTGCTTTTTTTTTCAGTTTGAACGTGACCCTGCTTTTGTTTGTTTGTTTGTTTTCTTTGAAAAGAAGGGCTTTCTAACACTGAAGGCTGTCTGCTACAACACTGGTTAGCAGTTTGAACTGGCAGCTCAGACATTAGTATTTTTCAGCTGAGGTTTTACCAGCAGCAGCAGCCGTCCTTCAACCTGTTGTGGTTTCATTAAAACCTGGGTTTAAGGAATAAAACTACATCCTGAGTGAACTATTACAGTACTGATACGATACTACTGATACTACACACATACTACAGTTATCACCAAATCAATGTTGAATCAACTGAAAGCGTTATTAAAATGTCTAAAATGTCAGGGAGTTCAGAGTGAAATTAGCCTCAGGCTACATCTGTTATCATACATGTGTGATGAACGTTTTTATAGATGTATTTACATGGTCCCCGTGGAATTAAACTAAGTAAAGAGACATTTTAAAACATACTGTAAAAATCTGTTAAATGTTGGGAAACCTGTTAAAATTTTAAAATATATTGTTAAAATCTGTTAAATGTTGGGAAACCTGTTGGTCTTAGATTTTGTGATTTTACAGCCTAGCCTTTGGCTAATGTTTCAGCTAAGACTAGCATTACTTTTTGGTGTCTTTTTAGCTATTTAGCTAACAGCTCTTTCTGGAAACATTTGCCTTTTTTTAAGTTATTTTATTTAACTGGTTAGCTTTTGGCAACTTTTAAGCTAATGCCTGATTCATGTTCTTGTAAATCTCGTTGGCTATTTCGCTGCCAATATTGCTGTTTCCGGGGCCAACATTTTTAGTCAGAAGTCAAATCAATGTTTCAGGGTGAGGAAGAGACGTCAAACTCCAGGGACAATCTCTGCCTCGTAGACTTTTATGACTGAGTGAGCAGTGAATCTTGTCTTCTGCTGTCGAACTACTGCTCTGAAAGAATGAACAGGGGAGAAGAAACGTCCAGTTATTGGCCAGCTGCCCCCGGGCCTTTACTTATTTAAGGCTCACAGGAAACTTGGTTGACAGTGTGTTGTCGTATCTAAGATACTACAGACGCTAACGCACAGCATTCAGATCATGAATGCATATACTGTAAGCATCAGCTCTGCAGAAAAATATTTTACACCAGAACAAGTGTAAACGTAGCAAACTGGGAGACCAGTCATTAGCTTTAAACTCCACGACTGCAGCAGCTGCAGGACTTCATCATATGGGCAGCACACACTGTATGGACCCAGGACAACTTATTGCCTCGAATGACTTAATATCTTTGCAATCCAATCCCTGCATTCTCTACAACAGTTATTTTCCAGGGAACTCTTACTCAGCAACAACCGAAAACAACCGAATCCCTGAGGGTCTGGTCCAGAAAGGCCTGTGTGTTTTATTGCTTTATTTAAAAAGAAATATATATATTTTTTGTGAAGAGACTTACAGCCTGCTGTACACCCAAACTGAGTCAACAGCCAATAAGAAACCAGAAAGAAATGGGACTATCGTTTTGTACCGTTTTTGATTAGCAGATGCTAATCTCTAACTGTAGCCTAGCCTCCAGCGTCTATTTGATGTTTTTTTCAAAGCTTTTCAGATTTTGTGTGAAGCACCAATCCCTGGCACCACTTCACTCATAGTGTCAGGTCTGAGCCGCTGCAGAGACGGCGCATAATGTAGAGTGGAATTCACAGCCACGCAGCAGCTGTGACACTCATTTAGTGTGAATTCAGCCTCAGCCTTGGCGTTTCTATCAACCACCGTCTGCCCTTCACTATCGCAAAGGGATGAAGGATCTTAGCGAATTAGATTATTTAAGATTTGTAAGTCTGGCGGCTGAAACTTGAAACATTTCAAGCTACGTCTAATTAAAACCTAGGAATAACATAGACAAGAACTGATTTCTATTCGTATTTGATTGAAGGTTTTGGTCACGTGACTAAATATGAGCGTCCGTCTTTGTTCCCTTCCTCCAAGGTGAAATCTGACATTCCTAAAATACTGCGATAAGAGATTTATCAATTTGGATGTGACTTTACCACAACATGTTTTCACATTTTTCTAAACAATTTCTCAGACCATGTTAGTAGAAGTAGTTGTGGTAAGTTGACACTTTAGTAGAAAAACACCGTCATCATAGTCATAGTCCAACTGTGTCTATACCATACCTCCCACAAAGTTTTTCTCCACGTAATCTATAATCTGGTTGTAGTCGCTGATGATGGTGTCCCCGTGGAGGAAGACGGGCACCTCCTCTCCCAGGTTCAGCCTCATGAACCAGGGCTCTTTGTGCTCCTGCAACGGCAAGCTCACGTCCCTCTCCTCGCAGACCAGACCCTTCTCATTGATGACCAGACGTACCTGCAACCACAAGCACATGCACACTGGACATCACCGAAAACACCATCAGCTTTTACTGGGTGAAGGTCATGACATCAACATCTACCGTCAGGAGGTAGAGAAAACATAGAAGGGTTTAGATTTAAATTTGAATTTAGTTTTGTATCAGTTGTCATTCCTCAAATGTTCTGTCTAAAACAAATAAAAAAGAGAGTTGTTATTTCTGTGCAGATAAATATCTCCAGCTCAGCGTTCATGACACGATAACCGTATTATACTCGTGCTATTAGAAAGAAATATATGTGTCTGAATTGTTTTGTGCAGGCAGGCTGAGGTTTCAGCACAGACAGTCAGCATCCCCTGTTCACTGGATGAATGATAAGCCCTGGTCCACCGAGAGCTATTACTGGAGATAAGATTAATGAAAGAAGATGACACTGGGTAATGAAGTGCCACATTTGGCCACTTAGGAAGGTCAGAAAACGTCCTGCTGGTGCGGAAGGAATGGTGGAGAAACAGGCGATTAAAAATGGATCAGGGAGGCTGACGTCGGAGCGACTCCACGTATGAATGAATGAATCAGCAACATCAGAGACGAAAGAGATCAAGGATTTCTACGTCAAACTTTCAGAGTATTTCAGGTCGGAGTAGTACTGCTGAAACTCTCCTCTGTGACATTCATCGCTGAACTCTGTTGAAATCAGAGGTTGTTATGTAATGGCGTTAGTCACTGGTCTGTGAGTGGTCCAGTTTCCACAGAGAACACATATGTTTACTGGGAGATTCTCCGTATAAGGATCCTTTGTTTGAAGAAGTTGAAGGCAGAGAATAAGGAAAAACGAAAGATACGAGGTAGAAATAAAGTACAAAGAAATAAAAAACAAGAAGAAGAAGAAGCACAAGACGACTGAGAAGAAGATGATAAAAGCAGACGAAGCACAAGACAACTGAGAAGAAGATGATAAAAGCAGAGGAAGAAGACAGGGAGAAACTCCACACAGACTAGGAATCAAACCACTAATCTTCTTGCCGAGGCCACTAACCCCTCCTGACTGTGTTGCTCAGGTTGAACCTAGTCGATCTGTGTCACTCTCAATGAAAACGCAGCCTCATTGATTCACGTTCCTCCAGCTCCGCCTCCTGTCTCTAGGTTTGAGCCACTGTTTGTCAGCCATACGTCATAGCAGGTCTCACTACTGTCCTGTAAACCTCACGCTTCCCTTCTACAACCCATCAGCCTTGACAGCCTCCTTCACACTCTCACTCCCTGCACTTATACATCTGAGTTTGAATGGTTGGTGACTCGTCTTTGAAGTCAACCACCTTCACTACTTCTACCTCCACCGTCGAACCTGCCTTACTGTCGTCACGCCTTAAAACAACTTTGTTTTTAACACCCTAATAAAAACCTATCTTTCTGACCTAAACTCACCTGAATGTAACTACAAGTCCCATCATTCTCTGAACTTTAACCAGGACCACAGAAATAAAGTTCTGCCTCATTAGGACACAGATTTGGTTCTCATTAGGATTAGTGGGCCTGAAAGAATTAGTAACAAAATTAGTAACAATGCCAGAAATGGGGCACAAACCAGCGAGCGCACACACACACACACACACACACAGAAATAAAACACAGCGCTAGATGATGCTACAGATGGTATAGATGTCGGAGTTTGACACGTGACGTATGGTTCACTCCTGTTAGGTCCTTTGAAGAGAAAGAACGCAGCAATTTTAGGTCACAGAAACCAAACACCAAACACCAGTCAGTGTTTGGTGTTTGAGTACGACCACAAGCAATGACTATTATTTTAGATGATGCTACAGCTGGTATAGATGTCGGAGTTTGACACGTGACGTATGGTTCACTCCTGTTAGGATCTTTGAAGAGAAAGAACGCTGCAATTTTAGGTCACAGAAACCAAACACCAGTCAGTGAGTACGACCACAAGCAATGACTATTATGATAGTTATTATGATTACCATTTTAACTTTGATCCATCAATCCATCCATCCATCCATTAAGCCATACCTCCATGCATCCATCCATCTGTCCATCTATCCGTCCATCCATCCCTCCATTTATCCATCAATGCGTCCATCCATCCGTCTATCCATCCATCTGTCCATCCATCCGTCCATCCATCCATTTATCCCTCCATTTATCCCTCCATCCCTCTGTCCGTCCATCCATCCATCCCTCCATCCATCTTATCTAGCATACCTGCAGCTGTTAACACAGTGTACATCAAGTGAAGGAGGCTGTTACACTCCTCTCCTGTCTGGACCTTGAGTTAATGTTACATCTCAGTTACATCAGATGTGAGGTTGGATCCTTGGCTCACGGCCACAGAGTTTTGAGCTGCTGCCTGGTCTGGTTGTTGCTCAGCAGAGGCTTCTGTCAAAATCATCACCTGAACCTGAACCTGAACCCATGCTTGTGTGTGACTGTGTGGTCAGTCAACAGCTCACACTGTGTGACCACGGTGTTTGTGTTTGTATATATTAGTACGATGATAAGCTGATGGCTTTTTGGGGGATGTTTTAGGAGATTTAAAGGCTCCAGCACAGTTTCATCTCTTCAACCTGTAAGTCTGCAGGAGGAACAGCGTTATTTGCCGTTGTGCCTGGACACACACACACACACACACATACAGTATTTGTGTACACACAACTGAAGTTGCTCTCCGCCTTCACAGAGAGCAACTTCCTACCTATCTAGTGGGAAGCGGAAAAAGTTTTGGTGCCTGGTTAACGAACCACCGCGCTGCCCGGACCGCGATTTGAGCCTCCCATGACAAGCCTGTTTAGCAGTGGCCACATCCTGCCCACAATCTGACATCGAACAAGTTCGTGCAACGTGATTGGCTGAAATCTCTCAGCTGTATCTTAAAAGATACAGATCAGCAGAGGTTTCACGTTTGTCGTGGCTGATTTTTTTTCCCGCCTCTTTCCAAATAAACACAAAGTGAATCCTCACCACCATGACTCTGAGGTTGATGACAGCGAGTGGAGTCACTGTGAAGAAGTCACTGTCATCACTGGAGAGATAACACAGCAGCTGCTCCTGCGTTACCTGCGTGCTCCCGGCCCTCGGTGTAAAACTACTACAGTAACGACGACCGTGACCTGGCGTGAGGCTGTGCACAGTGTGGTGAGTCTCTCTCACGATGAACAGTGATGATGCAGACGGGAACAGATGGCTGGCAGTGATGACACGTCCATACGCCAAATTCACAGAACAAGCAGCACAGAAAAACTCCAGGCCTGAAGATGGGAGATTATTTACACACTGTGTTGTGATGCCATGTGTGGGCTTAGTCACCTGACCCATGTCTGGGCGGGGGGGTAGGCGTTTGAATATATTACACAATAAGGCGAAGGTAAATCAACTGCTGATTATTAGAATATGTGAGAGGAACTCTGGTCCAGTACAGGCAACAGATACTAGATTTGTTCCAATGAAACCCAAGATGTATCAGTACCATAGGCTACTTAAAAAAAAGTTCCAACTCAATTCGCCCCATCTGGAACACAAACAAAGAAAACAAAACCACCTTAGGTAACAGTGGTAACGGAAATGATCTACGGCGCCTCCAGTGGACATAAAAGACATAAAATACTCAAAGTTCCAGGGTAGAAAATATAATCATTTTGACTGGAACTGGATTCTGTCAGTAGAATCACAGATAACATTTGATAATCTTCGAATGCTGAAGTCTGTTGTAAGTGAATGTAATGATTTGGATAAACGACATTTACAGTAACCTCTACAGATGGACTGGAGGATGAATACTAAATCCAAATACATGTACTATGTCAACATAATGATGAATAAATCCCTGCCCTTTACGAACTATAACTAAAAAAATAATTTGTTTCCTGAAGAAAACATAATGATCCAATATGGGATTAACTAATAATAAAGAGTTTCAATTGTTACAGCCTCTACAGATGGACTGTATAATAAATAAACTAATAATAAAGAGTTTCAATTGTTACTAGCAACTGAATGTAAAATAATATTCCATTCATCTTTAATACTGTGAATGGGTAGAGCTGCTGCAGAGCCTGAAGGAACATCAAAAAGCTGTTTGTTTGTTTGTTTGTGTGTGAAGAACGAGGAACCTCGGCTGTTTAAATCAGACAGTCTCCGATTCTAAATGAAAAAAGTTACGAATGTCTACACATCAGCTCTGTTTTTGATATTATCCCTTTAAAAATGGCCGGGGTGACAGTCAGTAAAGGTGGTCAGAGGTAAACCTCCAACATGGACCGAAGCATGAGACCTACAGATATGACAGGTATGAATGTGCTGCAGAGGGGAGACGATGGCCTGGAGTTTGTTTTCCACATCATTTTAATCAATTATTTAGGACGTCATGTGTCAGAGCACACACGCACACACACACACACACTCTGTGACCAGCCCATACAGCAGCTCGGCCGTGCCAGGGAGAGTAAGAAAGCTGATGAAAGCAAATGAAGAGGTAAAGTGAGGAGCAAACCCTGCTTTAACGTCGAGGTTCTGAGCTCCGGTCTGCTGCAGAGCAGCTCCGAGCCTCTCAGCTGGCAGATCTGCCCAGCTGCAGAGTCCTCATCATGTTCCTCTGACGGCTCCCGTGCAGGAGTAAACATGCACGGGAGGAAGGACACAGCGACAGCGTGCGCTCGTTCTGGACAGGAGAAACACACGGGGCTTCCGATTGGACCGTCCAGGCATGCACAGGGATGCGGAGCCGTGCACCTCGATTTTCACGCTATGCTCAGTGTGTGTGTGTGTTTTTATTACCTTCTGGGAGGTGAACGACTGCGTCCAGTGGTACAGAACCAGCCTGTCTTTGCTGAAGGGTTTGGGCTCTGACGACGGCTCCTCGCAGTCCTCCCCGTCTGTGATTTTACCGTCCTCATCCAGGGCTGAGATGGGCCACCAGCTACAGTTGGTGGGGGTAACATGGTTGGAAGACGCCATGACAGAGCGTTTTGTGCGTGTGGAGGAGAGGGACGAGGAAGGGAGTGAAGAAGAGGAGAGATAGGGAGGGAGGGAGAGAGAGGGAGCGAGAAAGAGAGAGAGAGAGAGGCGTTTGCGCGCGCGCGCACGCATACGCGCGCTCGGAGTTGTAGCTCAGCATCATCAGCAGCACCAGTGTCAGACCCCGGACAGCTCCAGTGCTGAAATCCGCTTCACCTCCATATATAATCTCTGTTGGACAAAACAGAATAATAAACAACCATCTCAGCCTCCAGTTCATGAATAACGTGTTATTAACTGTCAATGTCAACACACTGTTGTGTGATTCCTAAATCATCGGGACATAAATGCACAAACGGCCAGAGAGCGGAAGGTCATCTTTCCCTGAACTGACAGGAAGTCTGTAAACACGGGACGGTGTCAAACTGCAAATAAATCCACGTAACCATGCAATAATAATATTAAAACATGAATTAAATTCAATTATGTTTCATAACTACTTTAATTTACGACCACCGTGAGCTGAATACGTCATTAGAAAACCTGAAAGATGTTTCTAGAAAACCATGAACCAAAGTTCAGAGGGGAAAAAAACCTTGATAAAGTTTAGCACTTAAATCACTGTGGAATATTAAGTCCAGGAAGTCATTCTAGTCTGGGCCAGTCAGACTCTCCAGCCCCCTCTTCTGAGAGTTTCTGTCATTGCACTTACTAGAAAAATATATTTTTTGCAACATTCAGATTCTACTGTTCTCTTCTGTGATCAATGTTGGTGCAGTAACAGTTTTGCATATATTTTTTTCAGTCTGTTCAATACAGAGTGTGTTGTATATTCGTATTTACTGCAGTGTTCTGTTCAACTGGGATGTACTCCTTTTAGTTCGTTTCTTCTTCATTTCTTACAGATGTTGTAGTTGCAAGTGCTTACCAGCAGAGGGAGTAAAGCAAAAGCAAGCGAATTCTTCATGACAATGAACGTTACTGTGCAAAGTAAGAATATTAATAAAGAGAAACTTTACCTGTTTTTTTTTTTTTTTTTATAAAATATAGCTTTGCCTTTTTTTTAATTACCAGATTTTTCCAGGCATGCACAGGGATGCGGAGCCGTGCACCTCGATTTTCACGCTATGCTCAGTGTGTGTGTGTGTTTTTATTACCTTCTGGGAGGTGAACGACTGCGTCCAGTGGTACAGAACCAGCCTGTCTTTGCTGAAGGGTTTGGGCTCTGACGACGGCTCCTCGCAGTCCTCCCCGTCTGTGATTTTACCGTCCTCATCCAGGGCTGAGATGGGCCACCAGCTACAGTTGGTGGGGGTAACATGGTTGGAAGACGCCATGACAGAGCGTTTTGTGCGTGTGGAGGAGAGGGACGAGGAAGGGAGTGAAGAAGAGGAGAGATAGGGAGGGAGGGAGAGCGAGAGGGAGCGAGAAAGAGAGAGAGAGAGGCGTTTGCGCGCGCGCGCACGCATACGCGCGCTCGGAGTTGTAGCTCAGCATCATCAGCAGCACCAGTGTCAGACCCCGGACAGCTCCAGTGCTGAAATCCGCTTCACCTCCATATATAATCTCTGTTGGACAAAACAGAATAATAAACAACCATCTCAGCCTCCAGTTCATGAATAACGTGTTATTAACTGTCAATGTCAACACACTGTTGTGTGATTCCTAAATCATCGGGACATAAATGCACAAACGGCCAGAGAGCGGAAGGTCATCTTTCCCTGAACTGACAGGAAGTCTGTAAACACGGGACGGTGTCAAACTGCAAATAAATCCACGTAACCATGCAATAATAATATTAAAACATGAATTAAATTCAATTATGTTTCATAACTACTTTAATTTACGACCACCGTGAGCTGAATACGTCATTAGAAAAACCTGAAAGATGTTTCTAGAAAACCATGAACCAAAGTTCAGAGGGGAGAAAAAAAACCTTGATAAAGTTTAGCACTTAAATCAGTGTGGAATATTAAGTCCAGGAAGTCATTCTAGTCTGGGCCAGTCAGACTCTCCAGCCCCCTCTTCTGAGAGTTTTTGTCATTGCACTTACTAGAAAAATATATTTTTTGCAACATTCAGATTCTACTGTTCACTTCTGTGATCAATGTTGGTGCAGTAACAGTTTTGCATATATTTTTTTCAGTCTGTTCAATACAGAGTGTGTTGTATATTCGTATTTACTGCAGTGTTCTGTTCAACTGGGATGTACTCCTTTTAGTTCGTTTCTTCTTCATTTCTTACAGATGTTGTAGTTGCAAGTGCTTACCAGCAGAGGGAGTAAAGCAAAAGCAAGCGAATTCTTCATGACAATGAACGTTACTGTGCAAAGTAAGAATATTAATAAAGAGAAACTTTACCTGTTTTTTTTTTTTGTTTTTTTTTTATAAAATATAGCTTTGCCTTTTTTTTAATTACCAGATTTTTTTCTCCACGTTTAAAATAATTATCTTCCTACCAACTGATATTGTGCAGTGAGAGCAGGGAGAACTAGCACACAAAAAGTGGACCATTTAGCAAATAAATGTCTTGGGAAGTGGACCATTTAGCAAATAAATGTCTAAAACTGGAGGGCAAGTTTTGTTAAGGTATTTTATTATTAATTTTCCAATCCCCGATGGAAGCACAAAATAAAAGACATCGACTCCAGAAACAAAAGTCGTAAAAAGGTGAGTTTAACGGCCAAGAGTTGAACTGCCACGACAGTCATCGATGACTGAGACCAGTGTGGACTTAATGAGTCAGAAAACACAGTCAGTGGAGCCCTGCACCGAAATGAACCACTTAGTTATAGGTCAAGAGAACTCTATCTGTACGGAGACAGTTCTGAGTGAGAATAAAGAATACTGAGAAAACCTGAGGAGACGATGATGAATATTGGACACCAGACAGTTAGTCACATCAAGATAAACAAGTCAGGTTTGGACAAATATGTTGTCTGTGTTTGAAAGGAAGAGGGAAACTGTTGTAGTTGACGTCGGCCCGTCAACACCTGAACGTGGACCAACGCAAAAATGTCAACATTTATGCTAGCTATGGTGGATTCAAGATATGGTTTGTTTTCATTGTGTGTCCATTGGTTCAATGTTATCTTGGGTATGAATAAAGGATCCATGATGACACCAGAGTCTGTGGACCCTCAGGGGTCCGTTGACCCCTGGTTGAGAACCACCGGTTTACATATACTTTTGTTGGAATCACAGTGAAGAATGCAGTATTTTGACAATAACTACAGAACCCCTGAAGGGTGCGCACCTGTAAGTTCCACGAGGAACCTGAAACTTACAGGTTACAGAAATGAACCAGAAAGGTTTTTCCACGTTGTCCCTTTAGGGGCTCCGTAAAGATCTGATTGCTGAGCAGCATTTGCTCCAGGCCTGAAGTGGTAAGATTCTGGCACGGCTCCTTGCAGAGACAGCAGCAGACTAAGGATTGGGCTGTATTTTTGGAAGTGTGCGCGCGCGCGCGTCTTGTTAGATCTGCTAACATATTTCCAGCAGCGGTGGAGAGCTGGGTGGCAGCACAGGGGGAGAGAGGGGCTTTTCTCTGTGGCCACCTGGACGAGCCATGTAAGATCCCTGGCTTATAAAAAACACATACAGAAATAATTCAACCTGATCAGCAACAAGCGCCTCGTGGAGCGTCGGCATCAATGGTTGTAGCGGTTGTGGGAATGAACCTGTGGGACAGATGGTGAGCAGAGCTGAAGAATCCCAGCACAGGAACCGGGAGTCATTTGGATGAAACTAAAGTTTTTCGTAAAGTGTGCGCTGCGTCCTGGCAGCTTCATGGACAACACGCTGAGAAATCCCACGATCCAATTCCACAAGAAGAAACAGCCACAGGTAGAAGAACACTGAGGAAGACCTCCGCTCGGTGTGGATGTCAGGTGGAGGTGAAGTCGGACACACAGAGCTCGTGTTCAGGTAACAGCCTAAAAACAGATTTGCTTTCTGACCGGTGCGTCATTCGGCCGCGGTGAGGCATGAGTGGAGGTCGCTTTGAGTTCGACGACGGTGGAGCTTTTTGCGGAGGCTGGGAGGGGGGCAAAGCCCACGGCCATGGCATCTGCACCGGACCCAAGGGCCAGGGGGAGTTCTCCGGCTCCTGGAACTACGGCTTCGAGGTGGTGGGAGTCTTCACTTGGCCCAGTGGAAACACCTACGAGGGCTACTGGTCTCAGGGCAAGCGTCACGGTCTGGGAGTAGAAACCAAAGGACACTGGATTTACAGAGGGGAATGGACTCACGGCTTCAAAGGGAGGTACGGGGTCCGCGTGAACGTCAGCAGCGGAGCAAAGTACGAAGGGACGTGGAACAACGGGATTCAGGATGGATACGGAACAGAGACGTACGCTGACGGAGGTGAGGTCCTGTGAGTCAGGTGTTGTCCTGGGGCGTGTCATCGGAAGAAGTTGAACTCCTTTTGGTTTAAAATATCCATAGGTGATTTAGGAAAGTAAAGTGAAAGTAGGAGTAGCAATAAAATCGTTCTCGATGAATCGTTTTCATAATTGTGTAAAATAATGTTGCAGCTAGCAAACAGAAAACACGGTGTAAAATAATTTCTTCAATGTTGCAGCTAGCAAACAGAAAACACAGTAATTACTAATCAGTGGCGGTCTTAGTTTATTTGGGGCCCTGGGCTAGACTTGTCTCCCCCTTCAACCCGAGCGGAAAACGGTCTTATCGTTCATATTAAGTAACTTTTATTTAAAATCCTACAATTAATAAGTAGAAAAAGACAATTAGTGGAAGTAGAAGAAATGACAATCTAACAAATCAATGACACAAACCTTAATACATAGTTAAAATTAGGATTTTCTGTACAAATCATATATTACCTTCACAAAATGTAAACACACATAAGAAAATGTATTTATTGCTAGTGCACTTCCAGCAAAAATATATACGTTTAGACAGGGCAGAAAAATGAAATGTTTCGTGCTTTATTTGGTAGATTGATTTACTTTAGCTATATGTATTAGTGCCACTATTAGATGGATACTAAGAGGTAAGACCCCCCCGACCCCCACCCTTGGTGTGAAATAGGGCGGTAGCAAACTGATAGGCACAAATGATAGCCTTATGGAATCATTTGGGGGGGGGGTTTCTGTATTCATGAGATTCCACCATTATTTATTGTTAGTTAAATATAATTAACCTAAAACCCAACTGATTAACAAAAGTATTTTAAAGTTATACAACATTTTTTGGGAAAACAAAAAAAAAAAAAATTCACATATAATGGATAATCCATCATTATAAAAAGATCTTTGGGTCAGGAGGAAGAACTCAGTAGTCTAATAAGATTATAGTTGTGTGTCTGTGTAACCAGAAGAAAAGATCACTCTGCTGCCGTCAGTCACAGCCTGTCAGAAATATAACCC